ATAAAATTATATTTGTAGTGATAATACTCTCATGATAACAGTAGTAATAAGTGATAAAGTTATAAATTTCATAAGAGAGCTAGATATATTATTAACACGAGCAATATATTACTTTTGCTCTAATGATTATAGGCATACTCGTCATGTCTATTCTTGGTACGATAATAAAAAAAAATCTTCGTCCTTACTAAAACAGCAATCATGGTGCAACCACTTTATCAGTTACACAGTGAACTATAAATCACGTCAGAAAAAGTAAATGAGAGAGGGAAGAGCAGAGAAGAGAAAAGAAAAGATAAGAAAAGAGAAAAGAAGAGGAGAAAAGAGAGAGGGAGAGCATACAGACAGGCAAATAGAAAGAGACAGAGTTGCAACGAGAAATCACATGCAAGGATGATGGAAAATAATTTTCCTTCACTCTCGAAGCTGCATCAGCTGCGTTTACGTTACAGAAATAAAATATTTCGTAAAATATTGTTGGTGTTGATTATTATTAAGGCTTTTATGACAATTATGACGATAAGGTGATAATGGTAGTGATAATAGCAATGACAATGAAAATAACAGTAATACCACTGGCAGCATAGCTAATGATATCAACACAAGCAATAACTTATTATTCTAATGAATATGGGCATCCTCGTCATGTCTATTCTTGTTAAAAAAAATATATATATATCTTCGTCTTTATTAAAGCAGTGCTAAGATGTAGTGACTTCCATTAATTACATATTTATTCATTACTCCCGGCGAAAAAAGAGTAAGGGAATTATGTGTGTGTGTGTGTGTGTGTGTGTGTGTGTGTGTGTGTGTGTGTGTGTGTGTGTGTGTGTGTGTGTGTGTGTGTGTGTGTGTGTGTGTGTGTGTGTGTGTGTGTGTAAGCAGTGCTAAGATGTAGTGACTTCTATTAATTACATGTTTATTCATTAATCCCGGCGAAAAAGAGAAAGAGAAAAAGAATTATATATATACATATTTAGAGAGAGAGAGAGAGAGAGAGATATAAATGCATCTTCAGTATCACGAGCACTGAGAAGGCGTGTGCCACCGGGTCAACACATGGTCCGTACCAGCCATAAAAGCTGACCTCTCAAAAACGTGTTTATGCGAGGGGTCGTGCCACAGGAAGCTCTTCATATGATCGATGCTGTGAGGTAATGAGATTGCGACCTAACTAAAGTATTAGATATGAAATAGAATGTTCCTTGACGTTGTAGCCTATTCATGTTTAAAGTGTGAGGGCAGTTCGAGGGGACCGACACGAGACGCCCATAGCATTCTGGAATCAGACCGTTAAGCTGATAGTCTGACTGCTCCCGCTGCGTATGTGTCTAATACTTGTAGAAAGTTCTTCATGATATGATCTAATATACGTTGCTGCTTAGTGAATTTGAATATCAGATATAATCAATGTATCAAATTACAGTACACTTAAGCGAGAACTACGCAGTGGTATCAATCGCCCCTCACCCACTGACAATCATGGGCGTTCATCGGCGCCCGCAATGTCTCTGGTTATCAAAATACATGATTTTGATTCATATAAAATATCTATCACCCTATCTATCTATTTACATGAATGCAATCACACACACACGGAAATGTTACATATAAAAATAAAGATAAATGAAATTATAGCTATATACAAACTAATAACTGTGTTCCTATTGACATCGAAAAGTAAAGACACAAGCATAAATAATAATGGTAAAAAATGTGTGTATGTGTAAATGCCTATGTATTTGTGTGTATCTCCTTGCATGTGTACTGCATTATGTGTACGTGTGTATATCCATGTATCTGTCTGTGTATACTGCATTTGTGTACGTGTGTATATGCATATGAATCTGTCTATACTACATTTATGTGTACATGCATATGCATGTGTATCTGTATGTATACTGCATATATGTCTACATGTGTATATGCATACGTATGTGTATTTATACTGCATTTGTGAACATGAATATGTAAACTACATTAGTGTACATGAATGACTGTATGCTGTATTTACATGTACGTATGTACTCATACGCATGTGTATGTTTGTCTGTAAATGTGCGCATATAACCGTATTTACACTAAATTGACATATGTATATAAAATATAAACAAAAAAAACTCTTAAATAAAAATTTACCTCGTTATAAGTAAGAATTGACTGAGTACAAGGACCCTGCGATCGTCTCCAGTCACTGTCAGCGTGTGGCGCCATCTTCACAGTTCTCGGGGATTTTAAAGTACGTACGAGTGACCTTAGCTTCATCTTGGTCACGTGAGAAAGATTACAAGGAGAGAATTAGGACTATAAACACTTGATTTGTTTCCCTTTTTCTCTCTCTCGGGGGTAATAGAATGTTTTTACTTTCTTTTTTTTCTTTTTTTCTTCTTTTTTTTTTGCTTTTGGAATATCTATTTTGTTTATTCTCTAAACGTATTGTTGTTGTTGTTTTTTGGGATAATTGGTGCATTATTTTCTCCTTTATTTTAAATGTTCTTTTTCGTGTTTTTATTTTTATTTTTAGTTTTAGGAATAACTAATGATCTATATTTCTTTGAACGGACCTTTTTATCAGTGGGATTATTATCATCATTATTACGGTTATTATCATCATCATTATGAGTACTCCTATGGATATTATCATCATTAGCATTATATTATTATCATCATCATTTTGTCATTGTTATGTTATGATGATTATTCTATTCATCATCATTATTATTTCATGATTATTAATACTATTTGCATTTTCGTTATCTCTATTAACATTGTAAATATATGCCAGTGTCTCTCTCTGTGCCCCGAAACTGACTTGGTTACATTTCCACTTCACTTTTATATAAGTCAAAATTAAAGGCCAGTGGCTAGACCAAGGTGCTCCTAAGGTCATAGAGCAATAAGCCGAAATTAAGTTAATATTCATAATATGAATTTTGTGTTTAGTTTATCATATGTGTATCTATTGTTGTCATTGTTTTTTTTATTTTATTTCATGATGATGATGATGATGATGATGATGATGATGATGATGATGATGATGATCGTCGTCGTCACCATTATCATTATAATCATCGTCGTCGTCACCATTACTATTACTGTCAATACATTACCATTATTTATATTATTATTATTGTTATCATGACTCTCATCATCATCATTACCATCATCATCTTTATCAGGAGTACCAATAAGAATATCATTGGTAACGATAGTGATTTTATTTCATACCTTTTAAAAAGTTTGATTAATATTCTGACTGGTTTTTCGTTTAATTAACATTAGCTTCTTAAAAAAAATAATTGCAAAGAGAGATGAGATTGCAATATACTTCATGAATTATACAAAATATACATGTTGGCATCTGCAATTCATCATTACTCTTATCTATATAAAAAAGATCAATGTTTACAGATATTCTACCAGTTTGTTTTTTTTTTTGTTGTTATTTCGAGAAAACCCTTCCCATCCAACAAACAGTGAACGATAAAGATCTCTTTAATCAAAACGAAAAGACAGCCTCGAATAAAAACATGGATTAAAGTGTAATCAAAGTCAGTATTATGTACGTCTCCTTTATTACATGACACATACACAGGGCCTCCCGCTGCGTGCTCATCACAGAGACACACACACTCAGAGGGATGACAATGATTCTGCTTTACATCACACAGATACCGGAAATGCAGTACATGAACATCTGAAACTACATGAAAATATAAACTTTCTTAAATCTACTAAATTCCACCTGATTATGATATTATGCTAAACACTCTCATACATAAATACAGTTGGATCAGCAAAAATAATTTGGGGGGGTGGGGGGGGGACAGCGGGGCACACAGGCACCATCAGTCGCCACCGCCGCCGCCGCCGCCGTTTCATATATAAGTAACATCAATTAATATGGTCAGAAAAAAGGATTAAGAGTGGACAAGTGTGAGTGATGAATTGCGTGACTGTGGCTGCTGAGGTGGAGGCAGAGGCAGAGGACTTGGGTCGACTGGGCTATCGGGAGACAAGCCTTATCTGCGCGGAGGAACACGGGCTTTCCCTGCTCATGCTCGCGTTATCGACACGTGTAGCGCGGGGTGAAAAAAGATGCTAGAAAAGCACTTGAGTGATAAATATATATATATAGATACACACACACATATATACATATATACAAATATATATATATATATATATATATATATATATATATATATATATATATAATATTTATATATATATATATATATATATATATATATATATATATATATATATATATACATATGTATGTATATATATGTATATATATATATATATGTATGTATGTATATATATGTGTGTGTGTGTGTGTGTGTGTGTGTGTGTGTGTGTGTGTGTGTGTGTGTGTGTGTGTGTGTGTGTGTGTGTGTGTGTGTATGTGTGTGTGTGTGTGTATGTGTGTGCGTGCGCGCGTGTGCGTGCGTGCGTGTGCTTGTAGGTGTGTGGATAAATGAATACATATGCAAACGTATATATATATATATATATATATATATATATATATATATATATATATATATATTATAATTATATACACGCAAGCATACATATACATATACATACACACAAGCGCACATACACACGCTTTTGAAGGTCAGATCACGGACCTTTCACGTGGATGTTATGCAAAGTGAAAATAATATTTCTATTCTTGTCTGAGTGCTGATAAAATTTATATACATATATGAATAGATAATTATATGAAACACTGACTTTTTTGTATTGTAAATACATAAACTTATATGCAATTTAATAATATTATTAAGTACTGAGGACTGAAGCAGAAATAATCTTTGCTCATCAATTTCTAGGAAAGGATTGAAGGAACGCGAGACGACTGCTGTTCTGTACGTGTGTATCATGACGTCATCACAGAGTAAATACGTACGTGCATGCGGTTGTGTTTGATTGCTTGCATGTGGGAGGAGGGGGTGACACAAATAGCCTACTATGACTAGTAGGCTGTGTGTGTGTGTGTGTGCGTGTGTGTGTGTGAGAGAGAGAGAGAAATAGATAGATAAATAGATAGATAGATAGAGAGTCAGGGAGAGAGAGATACTTGTGTGTGTGTGTGTGTATGAGAGAGAGAGAGAGAGAGAGAGAGAGAGAGAGAGAGAGAGAGAGAGAGAGAGAGAGAGAGAGAGAGAGAGAGAGAGAGAGAGAGAGAGAGAGAGAAAGAGAGAGAGAGAGAGATTATAAAGCCTTCATATGGGTGAAGAGACTCTCGTGGAAAATATGATATTTCGCTGATATAGAGATAGAAACAAACCGCGTAACAAATACTATGATAAAATGTTTGGGCATGTAGCATGTATCTTCATAATAACCACGTTCTCTCTCTACCTATATCTTCCTTTTTTATCGTAAACACACAGCCCTGTGACGCAGTGGATGACTAGAAGTGGTGTTTGTAAGAATTTGTATGCAGAGGGGTACCGGGCATCCAAATATGGGGGAGGGGGGGTCAAATATTTGGGAGGGGGGGGTCATCCAATCAGAGAGGGAAATGAGACCGTGATTTTGACATTTATATCTAAATCGAATTAAGTGTTTATTTCATGTTTCATCTGTGTTCATATATTCAAAATATCTCCCTCTCTTATAATATTTCTCAGTATTAAGCCTTTTACTTGAATCGGTTAGACATACAAACAAAGAAGTTGGCCCCGAGCATCAACAGTCCTCTGCACGTCAATGTTTGTAAGGCAGGAAATACAAACACTGAAAGAATGGTAAAATATATATAAAAAACTCAAATATCTTGCTAATGTTGTATTATTGTTTATCTGTTTTCTTATTCATTTTTTTTCATATTCGAATAATCTGATTATGTAAAATTGCTTATTATATATATACCCCAACATGGCTTACAAAGTTACATATCAGATTAACGGTCATTTCAGTCTGCCTATTTGTAAAAACATCACATAATTGAGTGCATGTGTACTGAATCAATAAATCATGATTCTATGGTAATACATGACAAAGCTATACGAAAATGGTTGGGACGGGATGTTCATGTGTACCAAAAACAATACGAGGGTGAATATAAATGTAAAAAAAAAAAAAAAAAAAGATGATGATCTGAATATACAAAATAGTAAGAGAGTGGCTTTGAGTGTGCGAAACAAAATGAGGATGTTTTCGAGTGTACGAAACAAAACTAAAATAATTTTGAGTACAAAACAAAATGAAAATGTTAAGTGTACAAAATGATACGAGAATGATTTTGAGTGAACAAAACACGAGAATGACTATGAGTGTACAAAATAACAAGAAAATTATTGTAAATGTAAGAGTACAGAACACTACAAACATGATTTTGAGAGTACCAAAAAAAGCCACTCACGCGACTCTGCCTCTGCCTCGCGACTCACCAGCCCGGAAGATCTGTTGTAGGCCAGCGTAATCTGTACTTCTCGTGACATCTAAAGGATTTGGAAGTTCACATTCACAAGTGTGAAGATCGTTTTCTACATTACAGTTATATATTTGTTTTGAGAGATTCATCTATCTGATGCTACAGGTTTGTTAAAAGGACAGGCTTTGGCTTCGCTCTCTGTTTTTTTTTTATCTTCCTCCTCCTCTTCGTCAACCTTTGCATCTCGGATCACAATTATTATATCTTTTTGTGTGTGGAAATGAAAGAGAATGAATAAACAAAAAAATGCAGGAGTGATTAGGACAAAGAAAGGATAACAGCGAACGGATTAGAAGCCATTTTTTTTTTCTTTCTTTCTTTCTCTCCGTAAACCAAGAGTGTGGTGCAGAGGGACTTGAAACCTATCGTGTCCGGGAGTGAAGAAGGCATAGCACCCTAAAGGATCGGATACCTTAATCCTTAATCCGAACCTCAATTTGCCTGTTTCTGTGTGCAGTCTCTAGGGAGTCGATCCTGCGATTTGAGGATTTCACTCCTACGCTGCGAGTAAATCTGAAACGAGTACGATAATGAAACACGATTTTTTAGTCCGTTTCCGTAGGATATATTAATCAGAGTCAATTAATACGTGAGGTTAAGATAGACGCAAGTTCTTGAACACCGACTATTAATTTCATATATATTTAAGGAATTTATTCTCCCTATCGTCTATAATCATCATCTTATCAACCAAAATGACCGTCCAGGCTGGCCACATCATTATCATTTTTGGTTGCTGTGATACTGGTACGTATTTATATATATATATATATATATATATATATATATATATATATATATATATATATATATATATATATATATATATATATATATATATATATATATATATATATATATATATATATATATATATATATATATATATATATATATATATATATATATATATATATATATATATATATATATATATATATATATATATATATATATATATATATATATATATATATATATATATATATATATATATATATATATATATATATATATATATATATATATATATATATATATATATA